CCTCTTGCTCCCATTTTACAGGTAAGGAAACTAAAGTTCAGAAAGGTGGGGAAGCTTGCCTAAGAAGACTTGGCAGGTAGGCTGGGTGTGGTGGCTCACGCTTGTAATCCCAGAACTTTGGGAGGCCAAGGTGGGCAGATCAAAAGGTCAGGAGTTCAAGACCAGCCTGGCCAACATAGTGAAACCCCATCTCTACTAAAAATGCTAAAATTAGCTGAGCATGGTGGCACATGCCTGTAGTCCTAGCTACTCGGGAGGCTGAGGCAGGACAATCGATTGAACCCAGGAGGCAGACGTTGTGGTGAGCTGAGATCATGCCACTGCACTCCAGCCTGGGCAACAGAGCAAGACTTTATTCCCACCCCCCCCACCCCTGCCGCAAAAAAAGAAGACTTGGCAGGTAAATGGCTGAGCTAGGATTCAAATGCTGAAGTCCATGTTGGAGGTGGGATACATGTCTACCCATTGTATCACTGCACCAACACAGGATCTGGGAAGAGAGCGCAACAGCAACTAAGCTTCTGCCAACAGAAATCCTATGAACTCACATGTGAGGATGCAGCAGGGACCATGCCAAAGGAGGGGCCCTGCTCCAGAACAGAGCAGAGGATCTATGATGAAGACCAGAGAGAAGCCGCCTTCAGATGCCCCCAGGCCATCCAGCCCATAGCCAAGAGCGATCAGGCACTTCACAGGAAGTAAAGTGCTTTCTCCTTGGGGATCCAGAGAGTCTACTAGTTTACACAACATCACATACGTGTCATCCCTACCCGCATGGGTATAAGAGCCACCACTTAGTGACTACTGCATGTGACAGCTCCTGGGCTAAATTCTGAACATGCATCTTCTCAGCCCTTGCAACCCTACAAGGGCTGTTAAAATAGACACTCGGGGATGAGCTGAAACTCAGAGCAGGGAGGAAGTGGCTCAAGCCCACGTGGGAGTCCCAGAGTTCAGATTTAGACTGAGGCTGCCTGTTACCAGTAGACCATTCAGATTCACACCTCCATTCAGAGTGGTACATTTAGTGAAATGCATTTGTTCCTGATGACCTTTTGTGATTCAAAACTAAAATTCCCATAAAAATTCATCTGAAGTAGGAGTCACATGTTAAACTATTCCCCTGAAGTAAGACAGTATGCAGCCCCAGCTAGATCCCATGAATGAGGTTCCTGGGCCAAAGTTCTCCTCATCCCACTCCCTGGCACCAGGAAGATATATTGAAGGTAGCTCAGCTCTGAGCACTTCCAGCATCTGCTTCTATCCCAGCCAGATTGAGGGAGACTGCCTTGCCCTATTGCTGCAATTAGAATTTGCACAAATGAAGAAGAACTACAAAACAGCCCACTCTTCTGGCCTATGGTGCCCCCGTGCAGCCCTGAGAGGCAAACTGTTGTCCTTTTCAGAGCCCCTTCTGTCCTCTGTCAGAGGATTTTGGCTTAGAGCACTGAAGTCAAGGCTGGAACGGCACAGTGTTTCCTTCTGAGCTGAGAGGGTCATGGTGGGCTGAACCGAAACTGACCGATCATTCCTAACAAGGGGCAGAGTGAAGCTGCCTTAACCAGTCTCCCGTGGCTGCTCAGCATGAGGCAAATGCCACTGGGATGCGGGCCCAGGCTGCGGGAGCCGACTTGCCAGGCTGAGCAGGCCACAATGTGTGGCGCCTGGCAGGAGGCCTTCCCCTCGGCCTGGCCCCAGTGCCCCAGGCTCCCTTGCTGATTTCATTATCCCAGTCTTCATGTGATGAGGAAGGGCAGGGATTGTGGCTCTGGAGGATTGTGGCTCCCAAAATCCTCTGACAGAGGACAGAAGGGGCTCTGAAAAGGACAACAGCTTGCAGGGGGAACTATAGGCCAGAAGAGTAAGCTGTTTTGTAGTTCTTGCTCATTTATGCAAATTCTAATTGTGTCAATAGGTTATAGCAGTCTCCCTCAGTCTGGCTGGGATAGAAGCAGATGCTGAAAGTGCTCAGAGCTGAGCTACCTTTGGGACATCTTCCTGCAGCCGGCCTGGCCACATTGCTTTCTGAGATGGCCAGCAACTCCTGACTAGCTTCAGAGCTGGCCTCAAGCTCTCATTAGACCAAGGGGGAGAAAATGTATGGCAAGACCCTGGGGCTCGGGTCTGTCCTCATCTCCTGCCCACCTGAAGCAGGATTCAGCCCTCACACAGTCCATGCATTTATGAGAAATGACCAGTTCACTGGCGATTTAAAAGAGGTGGGGGAAAGATTTCCATGACCAGAACCCAGCAGATATTTCATCAATAGACATCCCTGTTCTTGCTTTATTCTTTTCCCATTCCAGGTACTTTACTCTTTCCATCATTGGCCTTACAATCTTAAGGCATCCCCTCCATTATTCTAAGTGGTTCATCTCATCAACCTGGTCTACATAACTGATTGAAAAAAGAGCCTGTAATCCTAGCACTTTGGGAGGCTGAGGTGGGTGGATAATGAGGTCAAGAGATTGAGACCATCCTGGTCAACATGGTGAAGCCCTGTCTCTACTAAAAATACAAAAAAATTAGCTGGGCATGGTGGCACGTGCCTGTAATCCCAGCTACTCAGAAGGCTGAGGCAGGAGAATTGCCTGAACCCAGGAGGTGGAGGTTGCAGTGAGCCGAGATTGCACCATTGCACTCCAGCCTGGGTAGCAAGAGTGAAACTCCATCTCAAAAAAAAAAAAAAAAAGGAGTCTGGTATTTAAGCAAATCAGAATCGATTATATTCCCTCAGCACTTCCCTGGGTGGCTCATTTATCCTCAACTGTGATACAGTGGACAAAGTGTGAGTATCTGTGAACCAGGCCTCTAACAAATGCACATCACAAAACTACAGCCACTTTCCACAGCCCTTAAAACAAGTGCAAATTCATCCTAAGTCCAAACACTAACATAAAGTTAGTTCCAAAGCAGTGATGACCCTGGGTGCTGAGTAAATGTAAATGCAAAACCACTCTGTAGGGCTATGTCCTAACGCAGACCACATACAATTTCTACCTGAGAAAAAAAGCCCACTGCACACAGCTCATGCTCAAACACAAGGAGGTAATCCACCATGAACAAGAGCAAGCAGACATAAAACAATGGGAGGATTAACATTCTTAATACTTGAGCAAACAGCACAATCTGAAAAAGAGTATAATATAAATAGATTTAAAACAATTGACATCAACAACAACAAAAAAGAAATTATAAGAAAACACCAAGAAACTGTGTCATTAGGGCAGAGAAATTTGAACAATCATTATAAGAACTTTTAGAAATTAGCAAAATGTGTAGTACCATCAAAATTTATAATGTAAAAAATGGTCTGACACCAATTAACAAAGCTGGAGAGAGACTAAGTGAACCGAAAGACAAACTTTAAGGAAATCATGCAGGACGCAGCATAAAGCACAGAAAACTATAGAAGAGAGGTTAAGAGACAAAAAGGCCAGAAATGAAAATGTGAAGCTGATATGTAAAAGGAGTTCTGAAGGAAAGGATAGAGAAAATAGAGGTGTGCAATATCAGGAATGTTTTTGGCTGAAAATTTTTCAGAATTAAAGAAAAACTAATTTTCAAAAGAAATAGCACATTGAACTTTCTAACAAATAAGTGAAAATTAAGCCATACTCAGATACCTTATGGTAGACATGCAGAATGACAAAGAAAAGAAGAAAACAAATATTAAATAGAACTAGAGAAAAAAACAGGATACCTAAGAAGGGATGCAATTAGACTGATAAAGTCCCAGCACCAGAAGACAGAGGCATGGTACCTTCAAAGTGTTGAGAAGAAGGATTTAAAATCCTGTTTGTAGCTAAACTATAATTCAAGAGCAAGGGTAAAATAGAGGCATTTTCAGACAAAGACTTAGAGATTTCTTACTCATAGACCTAATGAAAGTAACATTAAAGGATATCCTTCAGGAAAGAGAAAAATCAACATCATGGGTGAAATGCAAGAAGCAATCAATGGTGAAGAAAGAAAGCAGTAAACTTGTGAGTACATATAAATAAGCACTGACTTATTTATAAATAACAGTATAGTAACAATTTATAATAATGACCACGGTAGAGAGGTTAAAGACAGGTGGAACTAAAATACGGGTCAATAATAAGTGGAAGATGAGAGAGGACAATGGACAAAAAAACATCTAGGATCCTTATTTTACTCTCTTGGAGAACAGGGACATTTATGAACTTCAGTAGTTCTTAAATCATACGTCAATGATTTTTTTTTTTTAACATTATACTAATAGCTTGAAATTGGCTATTGTGGGAGTATTTACACCAGACAAATCAGCAGATACTACAAATTAGGTCCTCCCCTTCTTTTTTTCATAGATGGTTTTTAAACTTTCACTGGGACACCACTGCTTATAAGGTAGGGAATTTCTCAAACATAGGAAGTGGGTTTAGATACTGGGTGACTCCACCTCCCAAAGAGCAAATGTCAATCAACAAATGGATAATGTCTCAGATCAGTTTTGTTAATATAAGGGTATTATATATTAAATATATGTTAAATAATGTTAACTATAAGGGTTATAGTGGATATCCTATGTTCATAGATTGGCAGACTCAACAGAGTAAACATGAACAAATGAGATCATTGTGCAAGTGCACTGTCACCAAAGGACAGAAGAATGTACAAATGTCACAAAGTGCTATGATTAAACATGGACAAAATCCACAGACTTCATCATGATTAATGCTTTGACCCTGCCATGCCCCATTGCAGAAATTGCTCACAGTGTCCCCAGGCAGGTAGGGCTGGGGTCATTCCTGGCATGAAGCACAGGGAGTCACAGCAGGAGGTAAGCCTTGCACTGCACACTTTCCTGAACAAGCCAGAGTTCAGCTGCTCCATAGCTCTACATACCTCAGTATATTTTAAGCTTCATATGTCCTCTTCCCATAGTGGTATCCACTGCCCTAGGAGTGTCCCCACTAACTTTGTGAGGTGTTCACCCATTCCTTACCCCCTTGAGGCAGGGGTTGGAGGCCACTCACCAGTGCTGGCCAAGGTGTACTGGTAGGGCTCGGAGAGGAAGTGTGGGAGAGTAAGGATGAAGGCACCTGCAGCCAGGAAGAGACCTCCGATGCCAATCAGACGTGGACGGTGCACCCAGCTGCCAAAGTAGCTGACAAAGATGATGAGGATGGCATTGCTGATCTGCAAAGAGAGCAGAAGGGCTGAGTGAGACCAGAGGCCCTCTCCTCACCCACTCACAGAGAAGACCTGACCATACCTCATCCAGGAAAACTGGAGAGGGAGGAGGGTGCCCAGTGTCAGCTGGGGCCCAGACAGTTACAGTGTCACCGTCTCCCAGAGAGCTTTGCAAAGGGCAAGCATAAGCAATGTTGGTTTTCCTTCTGTTATCAGAAACATTTCTAGGTTTCCATCTTCTAGACCAGAACAAAGGAAGTATCTGGAGACCATGAAAAGCTCAAAACCTAAACTTCAACCATCTTATGGGAAAAAGCCAAAGAAATATCCAATCCTGGCTGGCTTCTAGGAATACAACATGTTCCCTAATAATTAAACTTGAGAGTTTGTACCTAAAGTTTAGGCAAACTCCCAAGCACTCATTAAATATTGTTGAACAAATGAATGAATGAGTAAACGGTAGGCTTTTTCAAGAGGAGGACACAGTTGCCTGGAGACCCCACCCACATGGCCAGGAGTGAGATGGTTTATGATCTATAGAGAAAGGGGGTATGAAGGTGTGTGAGGAGCAGTCTGGCCAGAGCAGGGCTCTAGCCCCTGCCGGAGGTGGATCTAGGGCATCCTGAAACCCACACCTGGAAAGAAAGCTTTATTCTTATGCTTCCTAGATTTTATTTCCTTCTTGTTTCCTATTGCTTTTCTCAAAATGATTGTAAATGTCAGATCATATCAGCTATGCTGAGTGTGGCTGACTTTAGAAAGCCTCGATGGGGGATGGTGGAGGGCCCCGAAGGGGAGCTCAGGGAGAAGGGACAGAGGACACGCTCTTCGGTGCTCTCTAGGGGCCTGCACTTGTTTCTCTGTGGGAAGCTGGACCGCCACAGGTGTTATGGCTGATACTGGCTTAAGACCTTATTCTCAAACTTTTCTTCAGCCACAGAGTCCCTTTGAGAAACTATTTTTCCCTAATATAAAACAACCCCCTAAATACAGCTGTTCTGACTGAGAAGAGGGCCTCAAAATCTCAATCTCCTCAGCCCTGGAGCAGCCCCTAAAATACTACCATGGACTTGCTGTGAGACTCTTTGGAAGCTGTTACAAAGCCCATTGTGACATGACCCTGTCCTCAATGTCTCAAACCAAAGGGGCGCAGGGACCACTGGTGGCTGGCATGTAGGGCAGGGAGCCTCTAGGGCTCAGCCCTGGCCTTTGATAGTGGATAAGATAAGCTGCTGCTTCAAGCCGAGATGCCCATGTCTTCTCTTGTTAACCACAAAGTTCCTCCTCCTCCTGCTGGCCTTTTATGCCCAGTCTGTCAAAGGCTTCGCCTCACTTGCTGGGCCCCCAGAAGGCTCTCTGAGGCTGGGAGCTGTAGTCTGCAGGGTCATGCTTCCTGCAGGTTCATGCACACTCACCTTCCCCTTGCACCAGGCCGGGCTCTCTTCTCACATCCCCCCCAGGCTCAGGCAGATACACACAGACAGACACATACACAGTTGCACACAAATACTCAGACATACACTGACACAGATATACACACAGAGGATTAAAAGATCAGAGGAATGAACTATCTGATGGTATTTGCTTCAAATCTTGCCCACAGGCATGAGCTGAAGTCAGATTCTTGAAAAGTTCATCTAAGACTGGAAAAGAAAATTTTAATGGGTGGATTATTTTTATTTTTGATTGAACTCTATCCCTGGGAAAATATTAAGCCCTTTCATTGCCTAATCAACCTCCTGTCTTAAGCAGATCCTGCTACAAGTCCCAGCTAGCTACCCCCGGCCCATTGAAAAATCCAGTTGTTCCTGGGCCCACATTTTTGTTCCAAGCATAGAGTCAACATGAATGAAAAGTTAACTATGGGAGAGCATAGATTTGGCTATCACCTGGGCTGAGGTGAAAGAGAAGATCCGCCTCACACAGCAGCTCTGACTTGGATTAGTAGCAGGGCCTAGAATATTGTGTTGAGAAAGATTCTAGGCTGTGCATGAACTCAGCAGGAAGCGGGCATGGGTGATTAGTGATGCCTGCCAGGGCCGTGGAACAGGACCGTGGTAACAAATGTCAAAGATTTGCTTTCCCTGATGTCCATCATGAGTGAGGACAACATGTGCCAGGGGCATTACCAAAGTCATAGGCCAACATCGACGAGGGTCATTCTGTGTGATGCAGCACAGGGACACCAGGGCACTGTCCTGAAGGAGGATGCGACCACACGGTCAGGCAGACCCAGTCACTGGGCATCACCAGGAAGCTCAGGATCCAATACAAGCAGACAGACAGAGATGCAGGCACACACACAGACCGGTACACAGACACACACCTGGCACAGAAAGCAAGGGAGGCACTCACATGAGCCTAGGAGTTCAGAGGAGGAGGTTTCAGGCCAGCAGGGATGACTCAAACTGCAGGACGTGCATGTCTATGTGCATGCATGTCATACATGTGAGGAAAGAGCCTCACATGTATGAGGGCCCACGAAGAGAGGGCCACCAGTGAAGATTCCAGCAACATGTGTGGAGGCTGAGACTGTCTGGAGCCGTGCTTGTGAGCAAGAGATTGGAGCTGTGGTAGAGAAGACAGGAGTTCACAGAGGAGGCCTTAGCCGCAGCCCTCAGATAGCCCTGGGCTCAGACCCTGGCTGCGCTGTGCACATGACACAGGGCTGACCTGGCTGGAGTACTCAGGCTTTCTGATGCAGGTTTCCTTGTCTGAGAAATGTGACTGTGAAGAAAGCCTCCCTCCTAGGACTGTAGAAGGAACTGGCATGGAAAAGTGCTCCTGGGGTCACTGCTACGTGGACCATCAGGGAACAGGGAGGGGTGAAAGGGAAAGCCATGTTCCAACAGGAGAAGGCTGGGGGGAGGAGATATCTGCCTTTTTTATAGTTCTGTCTCCTTCCTTTCTCTCTCTCTCTTTCTTTGTTTCTTTCTTTCTTTTCAGATGGAGTTTCTCTCTGTCACCCAGGCTGGAGTGCAGTGGTGCGATCTCGGCTCACCACAACCTCCACCTCCTGGGTTCAAGTGATTCTCCTGCCTCAGCCTCCTGAGTAGCTGGGACTATAGGCATGTACCACCATGCCTGGCTAATTTTTGTATTTTGTAGTAGAAACAGAGTTTCACCATATTGGACAGGCTGGTCTCGAACTCCTGATCCTGTGATTCACTCGCCTTGGCCTCCCGAAGTGCTGGAATTACAAGCGTGAGTCACTGCACCTGGCCTTACAGTTCTGTCTTGGCCAGAAGCTGCCATGGGGCAGGGGCCCAGGCTCTAAGTGACTGCACTGACCTGAATTTCACTAAGTCAAGGGAAAACTTCATGATGCTCCAGAGGAGCAAGCTGGCTCCAGGAAAGGGATCATTGCCTGCCCCCATCCAGGAAGAGTGGCCCTGGGGAGAAGATGGAAGCCAGCCCAGGAGCCTCATCTCCACACTGTGGTGACAGGATGGGGGGTTCTGCTGCCTCCTCTCACTCTCTCGCCCCAGCTTCCAGTGGCTCCTGGCAGGCCCTGCCCTCTGACCTCCCACCTCCTCTGGATTCTTAGTCCACTCTGTCTTCCTCTAAATGTGATGTGCAGTCACTGAGGGATGGTGGGAAATGCTAGGAGGCCATAGAGCTCTGATCTTATCTAGGAGTAAAGGCCATTAAGAGCTCTGGCTCTTGTGGCCCTCATAAGACAGGAGATGCCTGGACCCAGGCCTGCTTACCGACCTGCATGCCTGCGGCTTATCCTCCCTGGACTAGGCATGGGGCATAGGACCCACAGGCTGGCAGATTGCACAGAACTCAATTAGAAGCACAGAGTTTGAGGGCAGACAGCCCTGCACACCTGGAGCAAGCCACTTGTACTGCTGAACCTCAGTATCCTTATCTGCAAAGTGGGCATGAACAGTGTACCTGCTGGCAAGGCTGCCATGAAGAGGCTCCCAGGTCAGGCATGGGAGTCTCTCAGCTCAGCGCCTGGCACAAGTCAGGCCTCAGGAAATCTAGCTGCTCTCACCGCAACCACTGGATCTTTGCTGCTTCATTTGCTGTTACCTGGCAGAAAGAGGCATTCACCTGCGTGCACATCTCAACCTCCTATTCCTCTGCTTCTCCTGGATCCTGTGGCCAGGGTGGTGCACAAGTAGGGTCTGATGGACCAGAACCTCCTGCTTACCTCATTCAGGCTGGAAATGAGACCTGATGAAGAACTGGAGAGCCCAAAGTGCTTCTCAATTGTGGTGAGGCTGCTCTTGAAGTAGGCACTGTACAGGAGCTGGCAGAGCTGCAGGAGGCCTTGGCAGAGCACAAACACCTGGGGAAGAGTGATAAGCCTGTGAAGTCTCTGGACAGCAAGCCCTGGCGCCCTCCCAGCCATCTGTTGGACCCAGCAGGCTGGCCTCTGCTTCCTCACTTGTTTTCTAGGAGCATTTACTTCCCAGGGTCTCCAGGATGAAATGTCCTCACTGCAACCTTGTATTGCACCCTGCAGGAAGCACTTCCAAAGTGCCGTTCCTGTTATTACTGCATTCTTATCACTGTTGTGATATGTGGCCCCATGAAACCACAGGGTTTTGAAGATGTTGAAGGTATGACAGGGTTGGGGACTCACCCTCAAGGGAAGGACCTAACTGCTCAGCCAAGCATCTTGGATTATTCCCCAACAGCACCACAGTGCTCCACAGGCTGCACGTCTGCCCTCCTCCTGTGCCCTGCGAGGGCTGAAGGTCACTCCCCACCCAATTCAGAGTGCTCCCTCAGGATGAACAAGCCCGGGTCACGTGGATCAACCTTCTTGACCTGTCTTCCATTCCCAACACCTGTCCTCCAAGGCCCACCAACCTCGAATGCCTCCAGTAAGGCACCATGATGCAATCCCCAAAGCACCTGGTTTGAATGAATATCCCCTCCACGTCCTCATTATCATCTCTTATCAGGAATGCCTGTGACTGACTGTGTTTGCCGCATGCTCAATGGATGGTCAATGGATGGAAGAGGCTGAGGCCATTTGTCTCTGAATCTCATCTGGCCTCATGCCTGGTCCCGGGGTACTGAGTAAATGTGAGTTCCATGGTGGATGGGGACAGATAACACATCAGAGAGGGAGGAGAAGGGTTTCATGATGTTCTTAGTTGGCTCCAGACTGAGCTCTGGGCCCCTCACCAGGTTCTCAGCTGTTGGGCTGGCCCTGAACAGGCTCTAAGCCAGGAGTCCCATCCTGAAGTATCTCTTGGAAGGCATTCCTCTGCGTCAGGTTTTCCTCCAGGGAAGGGTGAGTGCTATGACGTTTCAGTCTTCCAAAGCTCTTTCCCTAAATGAATGGCTGGCATTGCAGGAGAGCAACTGCAGCTCCACCTTCATTTCCATGTCCTTCCAAAGCTGAGCCTTCTTCCATAGGCGCCCTTGCTCCAGGCTGTGGGGTTTCCTTCCTGCCAGGGCAGAACCTTCGTGAGGCCAGCTTGGGGTGTCTCACTGCCTATCCGTGTGTCACAGCCTCCAGGTGTGCAGAGGTCTTTACACCCACAAAACCAGACACCTCTCCAGACTGCCACCTGAGCCTGTGTGGCCACCCCACTCCTCCTAGGTGGCAGGAGGAAGCCTGCCTGTCTGGGGGTGTGGCAGCACTCCACTGCTGCCATACTAGAGAGGCTCCACTGGGCTTTCTTTCATATTCTGAAATTTTTCTTTATATGTTGTAATAAAAGTATTTTTGAAAATGATCTCATCCGCTCCTTTTTCACAAATGGGGAAACCGAGGTCCAGAGAGGGGTAACCCACGTGCTCAACCCATGCCCTGCATATAGTAAGCATTTTGGGCCTTAGGTGTGAGTCACCTGAGATGCTTGGAGTGGACAAGGTCTGGACCTGCCTCTCACTCAACACAGCAAGCTTAGCCAGAAAGGGTCAAGTCTTTGTCTAGACACAGAGTTTGAGGGGCATTAGTCTTTAGGGAATAGTCAGAGGAGGAGGATCTGGCGAGTCATCTGAGGTCAAATTGCCTCTTTCCTAGGTCTGGCCTGGACCAGGGAACAATCTGGGCTTGTGTGTGTTTTCCCCCTTCTGTTCCCTGGGTTTTTCCAACTGTGAGGTAACTGGGCTAAGTCAATGGTTCATAACTTAGGCTTGATTCAAAATCACATGGATGGGGAGGTGGGAGTACCTTTGAAATATACAGGCTAGACCCAAGCTCAGACCTACTGAATCAAAATCAGCAGGAATGAAGCCTCAAATGTGTTATTTGGAAAACTTCTACCAGCAGAGTCTAGGGGGCAACATGTATTCCAGTCACTGGACTAGAGGACTCATTCTGGCGCTGACCATCCGTGTAAAGGGTAAGATGTGAAAGATTAGAAAAAGAAAAGCAAAACGATCATAGAAATTCCACTGAAGGAAAGACAAAAGCCATGGTATAGGTTATAGGAAAGCAGCATATGACTGTGACAGTGAAAGGGATGGGATTTGTCAATGTCCTGTCACTTTCCATGGACACAGGGCACCAAAGCACACTCGAACCCAGATTGTTCCCTGGTCCAGACCAGACCTAGGAAAAAGACAATTTGACTTCAGATGCCTTGCCAGATCCTCCTCCTTTAACCACTCCCTAAAGACTAATGTCCCCCAAAGCCTGCCTGTAGACCCCTTCTCTGGACATGATCCATTCTGCTCCTGCTCATAGGCAATCCCCTTTGCCATAGGATGATGGCCTCCAATCTCAATTCTTCCCCTAGAACTTTCCCCAGAGCTATGCAAGCAGGTCTACCTCACTGTCTGCTGGATGTATCCACCTGGGCACTCCCAGACCCTTCAAACTAATCGCTTCCGAAATAGGACACATCATCTTCCCCCATAAACTGCTCCCGTTTTTCCTTCATTCTCTATCACCTTCACTCCATTTCCCAAACCAGAAACCAAGACTCCTTCTTGATGTCCCTCCTCCTCACCCTCTGAGGGTTGCCCCATTCCTGAGCCCTGTTCTCTCTTCTTGGCATCTCCCACATTGGAGCCCTGCCTCCCCTCCAGGTATAAGCCTTGGCTCAGACCCTCACCATCCCTCCTCAGATCACCGCAACGTCCTCTCACAGGTCCCCCACCTGCCCCTCTCAAATATCCTACCACACCATCCCAGAGGAGCTGTCTCAAGCACAAACATGAGCAGGCTACACCTGAATTGGCCTCTCTCACAGGTGCCCCACTTTCTATAAGGTAAAAACCAACACCCTAGGTTTGATAGCCAACGTGCTAGACTTGTCCTACCTCCATATTTTCTGCTGAGGCTGATCATATTTTGCAAAGATGGCCACACCAATCTCTCCAAACCACATACACCTCTTACAGTGGCACTCCATCAAGGAATGGGGGTCTGTGATCTCTCCCCCGAATATGGGCCAATTTTAGCTCTTTGCTTCCAATGAAGAGAAGTGATGCTATGTGACTTCCAAGGCTGGGTCCTAAAAGTGGACAGAATCTGGCTGGCTCTTTCTTTCTTGGGACCTTATACCCTGACATTACGTTGTAAGGAAGCCCAGTCTTCCTTCCTCATGGCAAGGCCACATGTTAATGTTCTGCTGATAACTTCAGCTCAGATTTTGGTCCTCAGCCAGTGTCAACCGCCAGACATGTTACTGAGCGAGCCTTCAGATGACTCCAGTCCCAGCTCTCGATGCCAAGCAGAACAGAAATGGGCTATCCCCAATGAGTACTGTACAGATTACAGATTTGTCAGCCACCTAAATGTGGCCATTGTTTTAAGCACCAAGTTTCAGGTTGCTTTGGTATGTAGCATTAGACACCTGCAGCACCTGCTGCCACCTTACCCTTCAAACACATCGAGGTCATACTCTCTGAGTTCCCCAGAGGCACTGTGTCGGTGCCTTTGCTCACAATCTTCCCCTTCTTTGTCTGGGTAACTTCCCCTGCCCTTCAGGAGCAGTGTGGGACCCAGCTGTGTGTCTAGTTCAAGGTTGCTTCTGAAAGTCCCAGCACCCTGTGCTGATTCCTGCACAGAGCCATCTGAAGGCTTGGCACATGGCTGGTGGCAAGAGTAGCATCTAGCAGAGGAGTGAGGGCTGTCATAATAGCTTCAGGAGACACAATGAGGGCTGTTTGGGGTAGTGTGGTGTGGAGAGGCACCAAGTTAGAGGCTCTTGCAAAGGCTGAGTTGATACAGCTATCACTGATTCAACGTGAAAGAAGAGAAGGGGCTGTGTTTCCAGCCAGAGGGCCAGGAAGAGGGCAAAGCCATGCATGCACGGAAGCAGGAGGCCCAGCAGGAGGGGTGTATGAGGAGAGCAAGGACAGTGAGTTCACTTTCGGAGCACTTGAGTGTCTGAGCATGCAGCTCAGAAAAGACCAGTCTCCCTCTATTCAAATTACTAATGAATTAACAGGAGTGCTTAATCACCACCAACTTCCCCAGCTGTCTCATGAGAGGTAGATGGGGATGGTGGGAGAGAAAATTGGTCTCAGATCTTTTCCTGAAAGACATGCCTCTAAGTACAGAAATTCCCCCACTTTCTCCCCCTAGATTCTGAGTGAAAGACTCTAGCCAGAGCTGGCTCTTTTCCACATCCCCCACCCCCTCACAGAGCCAACCTTACCACCCGCAAGCCCTGTCAGGTCTGGGTGCCTCACAAGGGCCCTGGCAGAGGTGTTTATATATATCTGGGGCCCTCGGTTCCAGTGGATATGCAAAGGGGTCAGATTGATGGCTTCAAGGTAGAAAAGGGCAGGGAGAAAAGGTAGGGAAAAGGGAAGGAAGTCTATGGATGGTTCTCGCAGGGCCACTCAGGGTCACAGCCATCTGGCCCCACATACTGAGCTTACGTGATGGGACCATGACTTCAGCTGCGCGAACTTACCAAGTACCTGCTATATGACCAGCATGAGACAGAACAAGGAACACTCGACACCCTGAAGATAAAACACAAGCCCGTCCTCGAGGAGGACACGGATTGAAGAGTATATGGAGTAGGAGTATATTGGTTGGAGTAGGAAAAGCTTTGCTAGTTGGATTGCAACCCACCCTTCCCCATCATTTAGGCAATATAATGTTATAGGTTTTGATTCTTTGAGTTCTGGAGTCAAAGAGGTCTAGGTTCACATCTTGACTCTAAGCTATGATGTAAGCTTTGGCTATTAATTGGGTCTCCTTGATCAGCAGGTTTTCCCATTAGCAAAAGGAAACTGATAACACCTGAGTTGTGAAGTTTGCACCACAGAATGTTGCAGGTCCCTGCCACCTGCCCGGCCCACACCCTGCCTGGTGAGTGTTCCACATCCTGGAGGGATATTCAGTAACTTGAGGCTTCCTCCACT